ATTTTTCTGTTTGACTCTCTGGTTGTGTAAAGTTCGTAAAACGTGATCATTTTGGAAGGGCATTTTGTAAGACCATTTAAAACTGATGGTTGGAGAAGAGAAAGTTGTGAATAGGGTAGGGACATGATTTGAGAGTGTGGCAAGCACTGTGGAAGTCTTCTTCTTGACTAAGATATTTTGCTAGCTCTGATGAGAGCTGTGTCCATGTTCTCGAGTTGTTTTTAAGATCAATATATTGATAAGCCATTAAGGGAAACCCTAGCTACTGAGTTTTTTACTGTTGGTTATATCCTATATGCTTGAAAAGAGGACAGCTAAAATGGATTGTTGTCGTGAGTGTCAGCCTAGATGCCATGAGACTCAATGGGGTGATCTTTATAGAACTCCAAGGCATTTGTTTAAAATAACCTAAGCATTACTAGGTACTAGTGGAAGAAGTTTACCAAAGAGTGCCTCAATGCTCTCGAGCAGAGAAACTAGCTTCTTGGTGCAATCCAGTGGAGCACAGGACACTTGATAGCCTTCTTGGTTGGCAGGGATACAAATGATGCTGTGAGACTGGATCCAGCAGCTGAGGTTGATCAGGAATAAGATCATAAAGTGCATTTCTAAGCATCATATAATTCTGCTGAGTCTTTGGCTGCAGATGTACATGAGGCCAATTGTTTATAAGGATGAGAAATTGACCACACCCATAAAGATCATAAAGAAGTTTTATATTTTACTGTTTATGTTCTACAGCTACACTAAAATATTATTGTATTTTTACTTTAGAAAAGTCTATGAGAATGTGCCCCACCTCCCAAAATAAAGAAAAAAAATTAGTTATAAGGTGGCATTATCAAGAATGCGAAATTCATGAGGATACATTCACATTTTCGGACATCTAGAGAAGGATATGAGTCTTCCCTCAAATACTGAGAATGCCTAATTTGTCGGGATTTGTGCACATCTGTGGAGATTTGGAGAAGGATGAGGAATTCCACATATATTGACAGAATCTCACCTGTGTAGTGGTAGAGCAGCTAATAGCAAGTATTTGTCTGAACCATCATTTAGTTATGATGGTGTTCTTCAACAGGTGAACCCACCAGTGTTTAAAGAAACAGCAAAGGAGAATTTGGACCATTATGTGAAGCATTACAAGCAAGTTGTTACTTGGAACGGATTGACTTTGGGACAGAGTGGCTTAAAGAATTTGGACA